AATTTATTCCCTTCTAGTTCTGGAGGACAGAGGTACAAATCAGTGTTGGTAGGGCTACACACCATTGGAGGTTCTGAAGGAGAATCCATTCCATGCCTCTCTCCTAGCTTCTGGTGGCTGCTGGCGATCCTCAGTGTTCATTTTTTTGTGACCGCTTTCCGATCTCTGTCTCAATCTGCATAACACCTTTTTCTTTTTTTGTATCTCTGTGTTCTCCTTTTCTTACATGGGCACCGTTCACTGGATTTAGGACCCATTTTAAAACTAGGATGGTCTCTGATAAGACTCTACTACCAGATAAGGTCACATTCACAGATACCAGAGGATAGAACTTGGACATATCTTTTATGGGGATGCTATTTATCTCACCAAAAATATGAGAAAATGATAGTCGTTTGATTTAATAGCATGCCTGATTTTTATAAAAAAGTATCCCCAAACCTCTTGGTTATAGTATACCATTTCAGGATCTTCCATCCATTTGGGGATTTTGATTTCTGGATTCAATTCAGATTCTTACTTCCTGTTGCCCCAAACTTACAGTTCTCTTAATTGCCAGTGACACAGAGCTCCGTCATTGTGTAGAATGGCCTTACCCCTTCCGTAGACAGGATGTCTATGACAAAGGGTGGAAGGTAGTGCCTGTCCACTGAGGGTCATTCCCTGTTAAATGCATAGTTCTGCCTGTGTTGCACATTGTTACTTTTGATTCAAGAGTTAAGTCCCTGAAGGATGCCCCAGTTTGTCTGGGCAGCTGAAGGTGAGGTTCAGGGTCACGGATGATTCTTGTATGATTAACTAACATAGCCATCCCTCATCCTTTCTTAGATTCCCCCCGACCCATTTAATAATTAAAGACTGTTAGTCTGTATTGCAACATGAGACAGAGCATTCCCATTTACAGAACAACCCTGCAAGCTTCAGTGAATCTTTCCACTAGCTTTTGTGGTAGAATCACAATTAGTTGTTTTTCAAAAACAACATAATTCTCAGAGGCTGGAAGTATTGCCTTAATCTAAAACTCTAAGTATTTCTGCTATATTTTTCCTGCTTGGATCTGCCTCTTTCCCTCCATGCCCCAAATCATCTGTGAGAGAGGCAGAAATTAAAGAGACCTCAGGTCTTATCTTTCTTTCTGACTTACAGGGTACCAGGGGTAGAACTGGCCAGACTGTGACTTGTGACCTGGCCAGGGCCAGTTACCGAAGCTCCTCTGAACCCTATTCAAAGTATGTGGCCTTTTTGGATAATCCAAGAGATGGAATGTGTAAGAATTCCAAGATGGAGCATATGCCAACTCTAAAACCCAAACACCCCCAATAGCAGCTGTTCTTTGTTGTTGTGGGAGGTAATGATTACATACGCTTCCCTACATGTTGCAGGCTTAAGTGCCACTACTTCTTAACCTGTCTGCCGGATTCCTTGTAGCTGGTCCCCAGAACTGATGGTGCTTACTCTTCCCCTCAGTGACTCTGCCACTTTTGTTTCAGGGGACTTTTGGAACATCATATAGTAGGGCACCTGACCGCTGAGAAAAGAAGAAAAAAGACAAGGATGCAGAATGATACCACCTGAGTCACCATAACCTGTTCTGTAGCTCTCAGAGATTTCCTTTTACCCTCGTCTCATTGAAAGTGAAGGGAACATCCAACTGTTCTTGATACTGGCAGAGACAGAGAGCCGTCTGTGAGCAGATCTTTGTTAAGCAGTATATTCTAGGCCCTGTGAAAAGTACAGTGTTTTTTTGTTTTTTTTTTTTTAATAGAGCCAGTGTTTCCTCATAGTATGCCAAATTCTAGGAAGGGGATGGGCCAGTGTATAAAAGGAACCTTTGGCAAATAGAGTGGGCAATACCTTTGTTTCAGGTTTGTTTTTTTTTTTTTTAAGATTTTATTTATTTATTTGACAGAGATCACAAGTAGGCAGAGAGGCAGGCAGAGAGAGAGGGGGGAGCAGGCTCCCTGAGGAGCAGAGAGCCCAATATGGGGCTTGATCCCAGGACCCTGGGAATCATGACCTGAGCTGAAGGCAGAGGCTTTTAACCCACTGAGCCACCCAGGTGCCCCAGCCTTGTTTCAGGTTTTTAAAAGGCGTGTTGGCCCTACCACCATAGCATTCCACAAATTTTTGCAAGATCCATTATATCTGGGCAACTGTTAATTTAATTGTCTACATCCACAAGGTGTCTTCAGGCTCTATTAACTTTTCCTGCAGAGAATTTCATACTTCCCACAGAATTAACTGGGGAGGCCATTGAGGGGGGCAACCTATGTAAAGGGATACTGTGATAATGATGGTGATTAATTAATGGATATCTTAGTTTCCCTGGGTTATTAAATTACCACAAACTGTGGCTTAAAACAACAGAAATATATTCTATCAGAGTTCTGGGAGGCTGAAAGTCTGAAATCAAGGTGTTGCTGGGCCATGCTCCCTCCAAAGCTTCTAGTTAAGAACTTTCCATGTGTCTTACAGCTTCTGGTCTCTCCAGGCATTCCTTGGCTTCTGGCAGCATAACTCCAGTCTCTGTCTCTGTCATTACATGGCATTCTCTGTGCCTCATGTCTTCTTCTTTTTATTTATTTATTTTTCCCTCATGTCTTCTTATAAGGACACCATTCCTATTGGATTAAGGTCCTCTGTTTCTTTAGTATGATCTCATCTTAACTTGATTACATCTGCAAAGACCCTGTTTCCAAATAAGAACATATTCATGGGCATCAAAAGTTAGGACTTGAACATACCTTTTCAGGAGACACAAAAAACCTATTCCAGTGGGTTTCCACTTTTCAAGCCCACACCAAGGAGTTTGAGGGAGTAGTTGCAGCCACACCCCAGAAATCTTTAAGATCAGGTTACACTGCCTTAGAGGGTTTCATTCTGCATCCTTGTTTTCTTTTTTCCTTATCCTAATTGGAAACTGCAATATGGTTTCTTCTTGGATACTCCACGATCAAGGTTACACGACCATAATTTCTATCAGTCTGGGCTTTGTTAACTCAGAGCATTCTTCTGGGTTGCCCCAAGTTATTTTTATCCACCTTAAGGGCTTCACTTTTCCCACATCAGTCAGTTCCTATGACTTTTATACCTAAGGTTTTAGAGAGACCCATAGAATCATCAATAACTTTATTGCTAAGTTTTAAGCTCCTCCTTGCTCTACATATCCAGAGAGGGATTTAGCAGGTCTTTGAAAAATACCTAACCATGTAGTCTTGCTTATAAATGCACTGGACTCCCTTAGCATTACTCCTCGAGGCTGATGATTCTTTCACAGCCTTCCTCTAGAAGATAATTTTAATTGACTAATCCTAGCAGTGCTGAGATAGCCACTTTTCCTCCTATACCATCCATGTTTCTAGGGAAGGACAAGAAGTAGGCCTAATTTGTTAAAATGTAATTTTCAGCTTTCTTGTTACCGCTGGGTGAAGGAACCCAGGCTAAAGCTTACCAAGGCAGGATACTTTCCTAGCCATATAATTTGGTTCTGGAATGGCCATGTAACCCAGTAGAAGGCAAGTGGATTCTGGGAGGCTTCTGGGAAATAGATGTCCTAAATTTTATTTTTTTTTAAGAAGATTTTATTTATTTGACACACACACACAGAGACAGAGAGAGATATCACAAGTAGGCAGAGAGGCAGGCAGAGAGAGAGGGGCTCTACCCCAGGACCCTGAGACTACAACCTGAGCTGAAGGCAGAGGCTTAACCCACTGAGCCACCCAGGTGCCCTAGATGTCCTAAATTTTAAGATGGGCCCTTCTTTTCTCCTGACCTTGTGTACCAATATATGACCTGAAACTGCTGTAGCCACCTTATGCCTAGTTTGGGAATAAAGCTGACTCCTGAAATGAAGCTGCACAGTTGAGAGAATGGTAAAGAACTAGATTTGAAGCTGTGACTGACCTACATTTAATCATCACTCTACAATGGGCTTTTCCAAGTAGGTGCAGATTGGGTTTCTTGTTTCTAAGAACTAAACTGGGTTTTCTATTCCCCTGGTTTGAAAGCATTTTATCTGGCACATCCTGATGGGTCTGTCTGAGCACATGGAAGGTCCAATGGTAGAGACAGTGATTCCCAGCAGGCTCCCAAGGGAGTCTTTCCTCGGTGTTAAGCACAGGGCTCAGGCTCCATAACCTCCTATTTGTAGAAGTCAGTCATCAACTTAGCATCCCCAGAAATCTGGCCAAGAGCTGCCATCCTCTGGGGTACTTTTGTGTCAGACTGCAGGTCCCTTGCATTAACTATGCCCAGTGATAGTTACAGTTTCTTCCACAGTTATCAAGTGGCCCTCACAGATTGGGTGAGGAGAGGGGTCAGGATCAATGGATAGCTTGGACTCCTGAGCCTACAGTCAGTTTACCGCGTTTTGCTAAAGACAGGAGAGGGGATTTTCCAAGCTGATGGCATTACAAATTCATGAGCCACCGTAACTGGACCTTCTAGGGACACACTCTCTCCCTCTACAGCAGCAGTTTTAAATTTTCTTCACCCGCTGCAGATATTCTCAGCTATTTCTAGAGAAAATTAAACAAACAAAAAAACCCCAGGTTGGAGCCACAACCAACCTGCAAGGAAACAAAGACATACCAGCACCTACAATAACCCTTTTAAGGGTTCAAAGGAAGAGGTGTCTTGCCTGCCCTCCAGGCTTAGGGTGTAAGAGCTAGGTGTGGCTGGGGCTTTACCACTGAAGCATAAAGAAAGGGAGGTGTGACAACTAGAAGAAAGAAAACAGGGCAAAGCTACCCAACAATAAGAACTAGAGAGGCAGTAAAGGAGGCCTGTGGCTAAACCCTGGCGATGACTATTTGGAAAATACCAGAGGATGCCCCGCCTGCCGGTGCGCACGGAGCAGCCTGTGTGGTCAGGAAGCGAGGCCAACACCCTAAACAGTCTCGAGTCTGTTGTGTGTAGCATCCCACAGCCTCCCTGCCTACCGCGCCCAGCCCCGGGGGCACGAATACAGCCCTCAGGGACGTGGGACCAGCCCCGGGGGCACGAATACAGCCCTCAGGGACGTGGGAGGCCGAAGGCCGTGGCTGTGGAAGCCCCTCAGGTTATCCTTGTGGCCTTGCTTACATAGTTTCTTTACCCACTCGATGTGCACAACAGAATTTTCCATGGCTCACCCTCTGCGGTGGTGGGAGTACATTCCAGAAAGAGACACACCAGAGAACTGTGGCGAAGGAGAGGAATTCAAACTTACAGGGAGAGTTTGGGGAAGGGGGGCGGATACGAGGCCGACCAGCTTCCCTGCAAAGGCCCCCGGGGCGGAACAGCAGAAGGGGGAGCGCTTCCGAAGGACCCCGCCGCCGCCATCCCGCCCCTCGCTCCCCTTCCCGCCTCCCGGGAGGGCCCGCTCCGCCTGCCTGAGTCACGGCTGGAGCTGGGGAGGAGCCGGGGAAAGGAGGCCCCAGCCCAGAGTGCAGCCCGCGGCCAAAGGGAGAGCAGGCAGGACGGTCGGGGATCATGGGGGAGAGCGCGCTGGAGCCGGGGCCTGTGTCCGCAGCAACGGCGGGGGGCCCGGTGCACGCCGTGACGGTGGTGACGCTGCTGGAGAAGCTGGCCACCATGCTGGAGGCGCTGCGGGAGCGGCAGGGGGGCCTGGCTCGGAGGCAGGGCGGCCTAGCGGGCTCTGTGCGCCGCATCCAGAGCGGCCTGGGCGCGCTGAGCCGCAGCCACGACACCACGAGCAACACACTGGCGCAGCTGCTGGCCAAGGCGGAGCGCGTGGGCTCGCACGCGGATGCCGCGCAGGAGCGCGCGGTGCGCCGCGCGGCCCAGGTGCAGCGGCTGGAGGCCAACCACGGGCTGCTGGTGGCGCGCGGGAAGCTCCACGTCCTGCTCTTCAAGGTCAGTGACCTTAGGCGTCCCCCGCCTCCCGACCACCATCTGGGGCCTCCTTCCCTCCCGTCCCCCGCCTGGCTACCACACCCGCATTCCTCACCCCACCCGGCGGAGCGGACTTCTAGAGCCGCACCCACTTCCCACCACGCTGCCCCATCCCCTGAACCCAGCCTGGCCAACCAGAGTTCGCCCAGCTCGGGCTCAGGCCACGTCCACCGAATTTGCTCCAAGTCCCAGCCCATCCCCGAACGGTGGCGGAAGTGCGTCCCGCGACAGTTCGACAGTTCTCTTGTCTCCGATTCTTGCCCCTGCTACCACCATCCTGTCTAAGCAGGTCCCACGTACTTTCCAAACTTTAGTAGTTCGCCCAGTAGCTCTTCCTCTCCCTGCTGCCCCCTACTTTCCCACGCCTCCCTTTGCTTTGCCACTCCGGCTGCGGAGGCCAGGGTTGGGGCGGGTTCCTCGGTGTAGTTATGGAGTGAGACTTATGCCGCTGCGCGGTGTAGGGGACTGCCCGTGTCAGAGCTGTGTTCATCACATGCAGGAGGAGGCCGAAATCCCAGCCAGCGCCTTCCAGAAGGCGCCAGAGCCCTTAGGCCCAGCTGACCAGTCCGAGCCCGGCCCAGAGCAGCCCGAGGGTGAAGTTGAGGAGAGCTCGGACGAGGAGCCCGTGGAGTCCAGGGCCCGGCGGCTGCGGCGCACCGGGCTGCAGAAGGTACAGAGCCTGCGAAGAGCCCTGTCCGGCCGGAAAGGCCCTGCAGCACCAACGCCCACGCCGGTCAAGCCACCTCGCCTTGGGCCTGGCCGGAGCGCTGATGGCCAGCCGGACGCCCGGCCCAAGCTGGAGCCCAAGCTGGAGTCAGAACCTCCACAGGACACCGAGGAAGATCCCGGGAGACCTGGGGCAGCGGAAGCCGCAGTGCTTCAAATAGAGAGCGCAGCCTAATGGCCGGTGCCTCTCCGGTGCCTATGCCCAGTCCCAAAATAAATCTCCCTTTCAGAATGCAGCCTTCACACCCAAATAAGGAGTGAATCCTGCATCCACAGCCCCGCTCTGACTTGCCTCTCCCAGTTCCTTCAGGCTAGACTGTGTCCTCTGAGAGAGGAGCAGCCACTCTAACCTGCTTGCCCTCACTGTCAATAAAAGTAATGTCACCTAATCTGGACTCCATGTGAAGAGGTGGGAGGAAAAGCCTGCGAGGCCTAAGACATTTGTTAGAACCTGGAATGTGGCTTCAATTTCAGAAAGATCACGGAGTCGTTTCTTAGGTTCCCAATGAATCTTGGGCTCTGGCGAGTGGCACATAGAAATACCCTGTTGGCCACCTGCTTGTAGAGCACTTTACTCAGGGAGAAGCAGCCAGTATAGTCTTTCGCTGTTGGTGCTCAGTAAATGTCAACAAGTGGTTTTCCCCTGGGTTTCTTCTCCCTCATCTTCCTCTTAAAGATTGGGTTTCCCTTTATTCTTAGCCCCCTTCTCATTCCGGGTACTCTGTGAATATTTTCTCCCCAGCCTTCCCCACCAGCCACACACACTGTCCTGAGCTGTGGTTGAAATGTACCTCAACTCACTGTGTCCAAAGCAAGCGATCTACCTCTTAAGTCCAATTTCAATTTTAGAGATAATTACTGGGCACTTACTATGTGTCGTTCGAAATCGCTCCTCCTTGTGTTTTCGTTACCAAGGAATGGCACCGTCCTCCACACAGAAACCTGGGAGTCCCCCTGGGTTCCTCCCCCTCTCTCACACTCCCCTCCCACTGGGAAACAGTTATCCTATTGTTCTGACCTCTGCAGTCTGACCTCTTTTTAAAGACCCAGCGCCTTATCTTTCACCTATTATTTGAACTGCCAGTCTGATCCCATCATCCTCCTGATTCAGACCCTTCAGTGGCTCCTTATCACCTTCAGAATAAAGCGAGTTCTTAAATATTCCTTCAACATCTTTAACATAACTTTCCGTGATCTGACTTCTGCCCATTTTTGTAGCCTCACTGCGTGCCACTCCCTCTCATTCTGCAACTGAATTACCCAGAGCTTCGTGCTATCATTCTCATCTCATCTCTTCTCATCTCATCTCTATTCTAATGCAAAATCCAGTAAGGAAACCCAGTTTCAGGCCCAGGTGCGTCTCTTCCCTGCCATCTGCACCACCCACGACTCAGTACTAACTGCCATACGGTGATTGTTTGCTATTATTCTCCCCACACGGTTCCAAAGACTGTGGCTCTTCTGCTCTAGGGATTGTTTTATTAATTTCTGTATTCCCCACACCACATACCATGCCTGGCCCACAGTAGGCCCTCGTGAAGCAAGAGCATTACAGAAGAAGTGAGAAGTGTGAGGAGATGAGCTGGGGATGGGAGCGGGTCATCAGCCCATTCATTCAGTTATTGTCATAAAAAACACTTTTGAGTACCTCATGTATTCCGGGCCCATCCTAGGTCTTGTAAACAGCAAGATGACAATCCTGAGGCCTTCAAGGATTTCAGAGTTTAGGGAGATACAAACATGAATGATGTGAGGATAGTGATTGTTACACATGTTATTTTGAGAGGAAAGACAGAGGGATACAACCTAACCTGAAGGAGGAGAAGTGAGGAATGTTTAAGGCAGTGTTCTTGGAAAAGGTAAATAGATGGAAAACAGAAACGGTGAGTGGCAGGAGAGTTCAGTTCCTTCATCTATTAAATGGGATAATGATAGCCCCTATTGGGCTGCTGGGAGGGTTCATTTACGTAAGTGTCTAGTACAGTGTCTGGAGCAGAGTTGGGTTCATTCATCCGGTTATTCAACAGGTATTTACTGAACTTGGAGTTTCTGCCAGGCACTGTTTTAAGAGCTGGGGATATAGTGGGACATAAGAAAGACAAGACCCCTGCGTTTGTGGATTATGTAGGGGGAGACTAGGCCATAAACAACTGTATTTATGAGACCGATAAAAACATGCAAACATATGAACTAGAAGGGCTTTCTGGTTATGGGCTCTGAAGGAAGAAAAGAAGAGTAAGGATACAAATGATGACAGGGCAGGGGAGTACTTCAGATGAGCAACTTGGAGATTTAAAATGGGACCAGACAGGTCATGATCTTGGGGTCCTGGGAGCCGCCTGTAGTAGGGCTCCCTACTCAGTGGGGTGTCTGCTTCTCCCTCCCCCCTGCTCCCCCACCTTGCGCTCCAGCGCTCTCTCAAATAAATGAATAAAACAGGAGAATTCAATAGTGAATTTTTTTTTTTCTTTTGGATTCAATTAGAAGAGTCTAAACCACCACTGGCCATGATTGGCGGAAATTCTATCATCAATCACTTTAGGGCTCCCTCTCCTTCCTTAGATTGTACAGGTATACCAGGTGGTTCACACCAACCATCTCCTTGTCTCTCAGACCTTGGATGTCTCTGCTGCTATTGCTGCTTATGACCACACGATGCCACTGTTGGGGTACCTGTGTTGATGTCTCAACACACCAGAGGTCTCTTGTCCAGCTCTGTGCCCCTAAATCAGGGGTCCTTCCACGGAGGCTGGCTCTGTCATGGATCCATTTCCTTAGGATGTAGACTGTATCAGGTACCTGGCAGCCACTCCTTTCAAGATTGTGCCAACATGGAGGGGCTGGTCTGAGCAGGCTCAGTACTCTATCCCCAAAGAAAAACAAATTCTTGTTCTTTTTCCAAATCCTTAGAAATATACCCAATTCCAGTTTCCTCCTTTCAACTCAGACAAAATTAAGAGCTCAACTGCACATTTCTTACATAAGATGTCTTGATAGCTCATTGGGAAACACATGAAGGCTCAGAGCCTGGACTCTGACCTCTAGGAACCTAAAGTCTTTCCTCACTTGGGGGCGGGTGTTATTTTTTAGTCCTTGTTGATGTTTCTACAGGAGAAATAATAAAAAGTCAAGTTAAAACAAAACTACCTTAATTTCTTAGTAGTTCTTTGTTTCATTACAAGCTCCATCATTACCTCTATTGCTATGATTATTAGTATTATAAACTAAAGGGAGTGGAGAGTGACCCAGAGTACCCACTTGTCTTCCAGCATATGTGGCACTTAGGTGACTAAGCAAGGGGAAGGCACACTGGTGGATTACCAAAATTCAGAGTTTGGTTCTCAGTTCTTCAGACCAGAAGCGCAAATTTATTAGGGGTTCCAGTGTGGTTAGGCTGAGAGACACTGATTGCAATAACTGACCCCAGAAGTGCTGGATTCATTAATTTCTTGGAGAAATCCAAATGCTAAGTGAACTAGCATACTCTAGCTAGCTAATCAGAACATTTTCCATTCTGCAACATGGGAAGCCGAAGATCTTAAAGTGTTACAAAATAGAATGGTGGAAATGGGATGGAGATAATTGATAGGATTATCCAATCTGGTATGACCATTTTCTGTTGTATTCCTCCTCCATGAGTAAAAATACATTCCGGGTAGGAAATTTCTTCTCTCGTTAAGTATTGGATATCCTTTTGCCTTTCCTTTATTGAGAATTGAATCATATAACCTCAGCTTTGAAGGGAACCCAAAAGCCATCCAATCTACCTGCATTTCCAACACAACATCCACTACCATCTTGCTGCCTATCCTTGGCTGGATAAGGATAAATCCTTAATGCTTAAAAAAGCCAGGTGACAAGGAATTCACTACCTCTCAAGCAACTCTATTTTGGGGCAACTTTGACAGGAAACTTTGTACTGAGATCAAAATCTGTTTTTGTGGTTTCTCCTATTGGTGGTTGGATTCCCTTCAGCAACGTCTGTTAAACAAAATTTCTTTATTTCTACGATATGTCTTTGGAGTCCAATTCCAGCAGGCAATGCAAGACTGACTCTTCTAAAACGTCTTCCACACTATCTCCTCAGGCCAAACATTGCTGGTTTATTCAACAATTCCTTGTGATCTGTTATCAAATCTTGGCCATTCTTTCGTGGATTGTTTTAGTTTACTAATAGCCATTTTGAATAGGGAAGTGTCAAGGTACATGGAAAGAAACATGGCTTTCATAGTCAAAGATATCTGAGCTTCGTTGCTGGTGAATGATAATTTCCTTTTCCCAGCTCTCTCAGAAGGATTAAATAAGATTTTTTATTTAGTCATTCATTTTATCTTTGTTGTACTACGTGATGGAGAGGGATCATATATTACATGGACAGGTTTGTAATAGAACTGTAATAGAACCCTCATAGAACTTATATTTAACTGGCAGTTGTAATAAAGTTTTAAATAAATGCTATGATGAGAAAAATATAAGGTGCTATGGGAGCATACAAATGGTGCTTCTAACCCAGCAGGGGTAGTAGTAATTACAGAGGAAGTTTCCTGAGGAGAAATGATCTTTCCTCCAACATGATTTCTGTTTATTTATTTGTTAAAATTTATTTACTTATTGAGGGAGGGGAAGGATGAGGGGAGGGAGAAAGAATATCAAACAGACTTACAGCTGAGCCAGAGCCCAGTGCAGGGCTCAGTCTCACGACCCCAAGATCATGACCTGAGCTGAAACAAAGAGTGGAACCTTAACTGACTGGGTCTCCCAGGAGCCCCATATTATTTCTTTTTGTGTAAGCTTCTCAAGTGACTTTTCCTTTTTAGAAGGACCTGAGATATTGTTTAAAAAAAAAAAATACACTCCTCTGAGTATCTCATCAAAACACTAAATCCAACATATACCAAACTATGTGCTGCTTTTCCCAAAAGTCAAGATTCTCTTCTGTATTTACCATAGAAAGTATTACATCCAAAGACCTGGCCCTTTGCCCCTGCCCCACCCCAGTCCCTACATGCAATGAGTTACCAAATCCTGTTGATTCTCTGCTAAGAATTCTTGTGCATTTTTCTCTCATAAATAACTAATAAATTTGGGTCACTGTGAAGACTTGAGAAGAAGCAGGCTCCCTGTTGAGTAGGGAGCCTGATTTGGGGCTTGATCCCAGGACCCTGGGATCATGACCTGAGCCAAAGGCAGATGCTGAACTGACTGAGCCACCCAGGTGCCCCTATTCATGGTTGTTTTGTTATGATCATTTGATCCCTAATTTCAGTCAGGCAGGAACCCAGCACTCATCACAGACATTTTCATTTATGTCAACTAATAAACACGCTTTTTGTTTAGCCCTGGTTTTAGCTTTTTTAGTGTATTTGGTTTTCCCGTGCAAATGAAAGAT